CACCTTTAGCGCCTATTTTAATGAAAAAGAGTTGTCAGCAAGCAAGAAAACGATATTCTCCCCACTTCTTAAACACCCAAAAACACCCGGCGCGCGCGCTTCACGAGACGAAAACGCGAGGCTTTTGCCCATCGCAAAGCCTGGCGTTTTCGTCGCAGGATACGCGTGCCGTGGAGAAATCCCCGGGTTTTCTCCCTCGTGTGAATACCCCTAAAGGAACAAGAAAGTTGTAAACATATACAGGTCTCAGTTGAGACCTGTGTGCGCTGTCCACTTTCGTGTTCCTAAATATGGAATGCCCAAAATGTTAAAGGGCCGCTCCATCCTAAAATGGGGGTCTTTAGTTCTGCATCAAAACCTTGTGGCAGGTACCAGGACGTCCTCTTGGAAGTGTCCACGAAATTTCTGGATATAAAATACGCCTCTGGCAATTCCCGTATTACAACTCGCTCGATAACCGAGCAGTTACGCAAGGCCTGCCCATTGGCCCGTCGTAAGAGTCGCCATAGCAACAGCTCGACGCCAGCAATCTTAACGCAGTCAAACGCAACTGCATAAAAGAGCCTCTCCTTCATCCTCATCCTCATCCTCACCATCAGTCGCGTCGCGTTGCTCAACGGATCTCGGATTCATACTAGTATTAGCAGAAACAGCGCGTCACAAACAAAAACAAAAGGAGAGGACACATAGAAGGAGAAACACCAGCGTTGACTCACAACTCACGTTTCTACTCCTGGGTGTTTTCGGATCAGTAAATACTTACATTTTTTTCTCTGCATCTATGAATACCAGAACTTTTAAACTTTGCCAGAGTGTTATCCTGTATCTTGTTACTATTGGAGCTAAATATGGTTGTTCTGGGCAGCGAAATAAAGTTATGAGAGACGCTCGAATTGTGTCATTTTTATAATTACAAGTTATTTTGAAACTCAATTTAAGAAACAAAAAGTCATTTTCGATTTTTTTTTAACTCTCCCATATTATGGTCAATGATGGGTACTAACAGAATCTGCAGAAACATGTTGCATTATTTTTGTGTATTTGAAGCTATAAAGCTAGAAATATAACTAAAATGAGGCTACCGCAGCACCGTGAATGGGACGTGTAGATACCCATAGATGACGAATTCATTAATTTTACAGAAGTGTACAAATTTTAACCGTATCTTGGAGGCGTTGCAAACGCGAGATGCTTGGGCTTTCGCGTCGCGGCGGAGAAACGCTATTCTAAAACTCTCTTGCGTAGCATGCGCTTACGCAAGCGCGAAATTTAGCGGTAGCGTGCGCTAAAATTGCGTACGTAATAGCTTCCTGGGTGCATCGAGGGACAGTATGCAGTCAAAACAATGGTGCCTTGAGGTCTCCAAAGGAACGAATGCAGCGGTAAATAAAGCTCGGTCAAGCCTGACAGTCTCTTCCTCAGTCTGGGAGTCAATGAGTTTGAGAGTGCTCCGTGCTAGCCGACTTGCACACTCACGTCTTTTGGTTGACTGGCAGAGGCTTCGGAAGCTGGCAGCCTGCAGATATTGCTCGTCCTTTGTTCTCTCGAACGCTGGATTCACGCGCTCACGCGTGCACACCATTCCAGACTGCGTGTGCGAGTCACTGGCGATGGGAATTCTGCATTGAAGAGCCTGATGTTCGTAATAGGGACTTTTAGCAAATCGTTACCGTGTTTTCCGTATTGTGCGCACTGGAGCTTTTGAAGCATGCTTTTAAGCGCGCGCCCGGGTAAGTAAGCTTCAATGGCTCCGGTAGTGCACGCGCTACGTCAAACAGGCTAACGGTTTACTAGTAGTCCCCAATGTCCTGTCCCGTTCAGCATTTCCGTGTTTCGGTCGTTCCAAATGTCCTTGTTTTGTTGTTGATGCTTTTTGATCTTAAACTAAAAGCATGGCGCTGTGGCTCCCGTGTGTGCAACAAGCATGTGCAGCGTGCGCGTGAGCGTAGCTTTGGCAAGCTTGCATTTGCACAGGCTCGTCCGCATGAATAGAGACATTGCGGCGGCCAGTCGCCCCACTTGCTATCGTCTACAGGAGGTATTCACTGGACGACATATTTGAGGGCGGTGTGTTGGGCGCATGCTCAGAGCGAGCTCACGTTAATAGGCTGCTAAGACCGGAAATTCTGAGGGTGCGAAAGGCACGTTGCAGAATGGATTGTGGAAGCTCGATGTCAGCATGCGCTCAGCAGTCGCGCACACAGCAATGGCCTAAAGGGGGATATTCACTAACGCCATAACTCGAGTGCGCTGTTCAGAGCGCATGCTCAGAACGAGCTCACATTAATAGGCAGCTAAGACCGGCAGCCTTAATGGTTGCCGGTCTTAGCAGCCTATTGCGAAATATCTGTGGAAGCTTGTCGTCAGCACGCGCTTAGCAGCCGCGCACACAGCTATGGCCGTCAGTGAATACTCCCTATAGACCTTTCCAGAAAAGGGCTGCTGGCCGGTTTCATTTTCAGTGTTCGTGCGTATCGCGCGTGATTTGCTCGCTTTCCGAAGCGACGCACAAGCGCGTGCTGAGCTGTGGAGATCGCACGCTGAGCTGTGGATTTGTAAACATTGGAAAGGTCTATAGACGCCCTATTTGAGGGCGATGTTAAGAGCGCATGCTCAGAACGTGCTCACATCAATAGCCTGCTAAGACCGGCAATCTTGATGGTGCGGAATGCACGTTGCAAAAGAACTGCGGAAGCTCGCCGTCAACACGCGCCCAGCATCCAAAAAAGCGCTCCTATACTCTGTTTCATACTTAGCGTGCAACGCAGTCATAGCTACTGGCGCGAGCGTGAGGCTTGACCTCGTTGATCATTTGCACGCGTTCTCGCGCAAACAAAAGCATAGATGAATCCACGCGCTCGCGCCAGTAGCTTTGACAGCGTTGCACGCTAAGTGTGAAACAGAGTGTAGTTCGCCGCCATGTTGCTGAAGATGATGCAGCTGGTGCGACCCTCGCTCTCCCATCAAAATTTTCTGCCACTCTCTCGGACAGTTGAAACCTGCTCAGCGCGATTCTCCAGCTATGATTCGCGGTTTTGCTTTAAAAGTTTTCCGGCCGCTCTTGAAAGTTTCAACTTAATTTTAGAGCGCAGCTCTTAGGCACCCATTTCCGGCTTGAGCGGCGTCGGCGTCGCCGTCAGCGTAACCGCGCGGTGCATTATGAGACGCGTGACGTCACTGATGACGTCATCGTCACCTGACGTCAGACCCCCTGAGGTCACGTGACCCTCGTAAGACGACGGCGATGTCTCTCGGAGGGAGGAGTAGCAGACGGGATGAGGAGGTGAGGGGGAGGGAGGAAGAATATACCTTCCCCTCAGTACCCCTCCCCTCCTCCTCCTCAAGAGCTGCGCTCTAATGCGGCGTTACAGGAAATTGTAAACGGCTTTAATTTTTTTTTTTTTCTTATGCGTGCTGTGTACCGTTTTTGTGTTCTCTTCCACTGTGAGAAATAAGCCTGGCAAGTGCCTGCCATTCGAGTGTTTCTGCTTGACATTCACAGGAAGCGAAGGGGTAGGGGGGGGGGGGGGGGGGGGGAGGGGGGGGGAGGATGTTGAATGGCCTTCGACGCGATTTAGCGAAAAAAAATGACAACTGTTGGCCAATAGATAATCCGCGTAGAGTCCTCGGTCATAGCCAAAAATAGCTGCTCGAATAGGGGTGGAGAACGGGTCAGTTGCTTCCGTTACTGTGCCTGGTCTCCTCCAAAACGTGCTCCAAAACGAAGTCCTCTTGGTGGATTCCGTCCGATCGTCAAGATGTGACTGTCGTCGACACAGTAGTGCTGTGCTATTTGAGATCTTTCTCAAATATTTTTTTTCTTTCAAATAACGTTGCTCCTTATGGTACATACAATATACTAGTCGAATGTTAAAGGTGCCCTGAGGAGGATTCGGAGATCATTTAAATATGGTGATAACGATCACTCTGCGAGCTATTTGCATCCTAAAAATTCATAAATCATAACGATGCGCGACCAATTTGCCTATTAAAACAGCAATTAAAGTTCGAACACACCGAGATCATCTCCGGCGATGGGGGCAGCATTGTTCCTGCAGCCAGGACGACATGTGACCAATGAAAACGCGACATGTCGTTGAGATTGTAAACGCTGTTATTACAAAATATGTATGATTTTGTAGATGATAAATGCAAATAAGAGTACTCGAAATTTTTTTTTTTTTATTTTTCGCGGAGAGGGAACAGTGATGCACAGAAATAAAGATTTTTGTCCCACTGAAATAATTGCCATAAGCAGCTAGTAAATATTAAAAAAAAAAACGGCGGCGGCGGTTTTTTTCTTTTCTCCCATCTCTTTCCCCCCTCTTCCGTCGCCACTGGACACTTGATCAAGCTCGTTTCTCGACCGCGAGTGCCGCAAGTTACAAATACAGTCGGCAGAATAAAGTAAAAGGTTGCTCCAGAGGCACATACAGCTTCACGCGCATTGCACTCGAAGAGCACATCCACACGGTGTCGGTTCTTGATCGGTATCCAAACGTGCGAAGGCACAGAGACGCAGCACTTCGGTATGCCAAGGAAGCTTTGATCAGGCCGCGAGACCGGCCAAATTTTCTTTCGACGAATTGTGCCTTTTTTCTGCTGTACTGCGCTTTCGTAAAAATTTCAGCGTGTTCTCAACGGCAAGTCTCACCACTTGGATAGGGTTTTAAAAAAACTTCTTCGGCGAATGACGACGAACGAGTAGAAAACCTGTCTTCAGCACGCTACCGTCAGCCTCTGCTACGCTAGCGGAAACGCAATTTAGCCCCATGCAAGTTGGCCGTCCGCTGGCCGCATTCTCGCTGCAGCGACCAAGTGGGAAAGCGCTATCCACTTCAGCACTCGGATATGTGTAAAAATAATGTTCTTGAACTGTAATATTTTATTCTAATAAATGAACTCATTGAAGTAAATTATTATACACTCTATTATTGCTATTATTTTACTGTAACACTAGTTTTTGAATACGTATCTGCGATAAACTAATGCTTGGCTTTCTCAACTAGTCGAGGCTCGCTTGTTGTATGTGTTGCTCGGGGATACTGCAATGGAGCAACGGCAGCGAAAACACGAAAACGGCGTGAATCAGCGACGAGATTGAGCTAAAGCACTGTTGTCTGGTTGTGTAAGCGGATTTCTGACATCCCACCGCTCCTATGGGTACGTAGAGCTGTCTCTAGAGGCTCCCTCATGAGGTGGCCACTCATCGTTAGAGTTTTCGCGGCACGCTAGCGCCAGTGGAAAGAGGCGTTGCTCGAGGTCGGACATTGGTTCGCTCTGTAGACGAAACGTTTAGCCGTTGGACTGCCAGCCTGGGGTCTTTAACGAGCATCATGCTGTAGTGATATGCGACCGCACGCCAGTACGATACTCATCCAGGTCTAAACGGGCGCAGATCGAAGCGTCAGAGCGGAGTCAGGTCGGGCTGATGCAAGTACCCCCGGGCTGGAGACATTCCAGACAGACGCCGTTCTTATCCTGCCAATGACCATAGCTGTTTGTTTGATTTTTTTTTTTCAGCTTCAAAAATTAAAATATTATACTGGCATTCATTCGGTGATTCAATGCTTTCTTGATTTGGTTCACCTGTGTACGAGCAAATGGTATTTTACAAACAATAGTCTCGTGAAAATCCGGGCTCTTTCCTTTCTGTCGTACCGTGGCTCTCTTGAGCTAATAAAGATTACGATTATTGTTATTATTATCACCCAAAATACAGGAGGTGATGGTAGTGACATGCTTGCCATGAATGCGCATGCGTGGGGTGTGACCCCACGGCTTTCAAAGCTATCGGCCAGCAAAACGACCAACGAACCCAGTTACGCAAATATAATAGCCTGAAGTAAGCGAATTTCTACACCCTAAAGTGGTTTTTCATGTGTGTTTGCTTCTGAAGCTACATTTTTCTCTCGCCACTTCTCTTTCCACCAGCCACATCATCATCATCCGAGAGTGACACCTGGTGGCACCGAATAGAAACGGACGTGAAGGAGTTTGCACGCGCCATTCCCTGCCTGGATCCCGCCCGCCTGCAGCTGACGGCTCTCAGCTTCGCCCATGACAAGGCGCACCTTCTGCGGCCCTGCAGCACCATCAAGGGCTTCAGGGAGTGCTGGCTGCTCGACTGCCTCCCGGAAATCAACAGCTGTCTCGCCCCTGCCTGCCTCGAAGTCGAGGAAACTCTTTCTGCAAAGACGGTCCTGAAGAGCAGCCGTAGTGATGACGAGAAGGCTGACAATGGTCTCCTTGTCTCCTGTTTCTTCGCCTACTTCCTGCTCAAAAATCATGCCTGCATCCAAGTCCTTGACCTCCATTCGTGCCAACTGCCAGTGTCCGCGCGCCACGCCGTGGAGATGGCGCTGGCGTACACCCGCTGCCTCGAGGAGGTCGACCTCAATTTGTGGTATCAGGAACGGTTGGGCAAGTCTCGACTGTCGGAGAACATTCCTGAGCTCGCGATGCTTCGCAAGTTGGCACTGAACACGCTGTCCCAAGGCAGCAACGCCGCTGCCGAGGCCATCGACAGGAACCGAGGCATTCGAGAGCTGGAGGTTGGGGGAGAGGGTTTGACCGACAAAGGCCTGCGAAAGATGCTCAAAGCAATCGGCAGCTGTCACCGACTTACGTCGCTGGATCTGAACGAGATTCGCGTCTCTCCCAAGAGTGCGAGGCGGCTGTCTCTTCTGCTCGAGTCTCCAAGCTCTTTCCTCGCCAAGCTTTCGCTCTACGATGTCACCAGTGGCGTTGTGGATGCCATCCTAGAGTCGTTGCGGACGAATACGACCCTAGAAAAGCTCAGCCTCTCGTGCGTGAGGCAGCAAGGGACGTCTGCTCTGAACCGTGTGTCTGCGCTAAAGACAAACCGGACGCTCAGGTACCTGCAGGTTCATGAGTGTCTGGTGGATGTAAAGGAACTTGCGGACATGTTGAAGGTTAACTCCGCAGTGGAAGAACTCGGACTGCAGGTCTGTCAGTTGGTCGACGAAGATGCCGTCGTGCTCGCAGAAGCCATCGAGGTAAACCGCACTTTGCAGAAGCTCAATGTACAAGGAAACCGCCTGAGCAGAGACTCGGTGCCTGTGTTTGCAAGGTGCCTGGCTCGTAACAGCTTCCTCCGGGTCGTCGACATCGGTTACATTTACTTCACGCCAGACTGCGACGAGACTGTCTCTAGCATTTTGCAGGAGACGAAGGCCTGCGGGCGACTACTGGTCACCTGGAACAAGGCGGGTCTTCTAGAACTTGCAAGCGTCCTCTCCGACTCTCGCGTCTCAATGAGCGAGCTCAGCCTCGACTGGCAAGCAGACACGGGGATGTCTGCGGCCATCGTGAGCATTTTTGCGGCTCTCTCCGCAAACACCACGGTCACGGAACTTACCATCGACAATGGCTCTGGAGTAGACAATGCAATCGGAGAGCAACTAGCTCTCACCTTGAGGTCCAACACAAGCCTCAAGCACGTGTCCATTAAGAACTACTTCAGAAAGCACGCCGTGATGATTGCACTACTCGAAGCACTCGAAGGCAACCGCACAGTTTCGACCTTGTCCTTCAGTTACTCCGTAGATAGCTCCCGAGTTGCGACGGCTCTTTGCAAGCTGCTGGAGGCAAACAGCACTATTTATTCCGTAGATTTCGACGGATGGCATCTCAAGGGGAAATCGCTACTCGCACTGGCGGCGGCAATTTTGCGTAACGGCGTTCTGCTAGAGTTCAGACTCGCAATATTTTGTGCCCACAAGCAGCTTGTCGATGTTCGCAACGCCCTGCATAAGAATCGTGTTGTCCTGAAGCAGGCTGTGCGATTCGTTACGCAGCACTCTGAGGACGGGGAATCGGAACGTGCTTTCAGAACGCTGAATGGGAAGGATTCGCTTTTACAGGCGCTTGTCAAGGTTACTGGGAAAACAGAACCTGAGGTGAAAGACATTCTTAATGCCACTGCAGCGAGGACACTCTCGAGACAGGGCAGTCCGCAGAGTTTGTGACTCGAAACTTCTCCAAAGTAACGCAATTCCTGCCATTTGGAGCAGAGTAAAAAGGTACTTAGATTGTGAAAACCAGCTGAACTTACAGAAAAGGGGGGGGGGGGGAGGAGAGAAAGGAGGAAAAAGCATCCGATCGCTGGACTACCAACTATTTATTAACCCTCGGCTTCTTCTTCTACTGGTCTGGTGGCTGTCCTTTTTACGTATTCTTCTTTTTCCTTTTTCTTGATCTTCCTTTATCTTCATGGGCATTTTCGTCTCGCAGGAACTTCTTTTCACTTGTTTGTAGGGCAATGGATGGTGAACTAACGCAGTTGTCTTTTTGTTGATCTATGGCTAAGGCCTCAAGCAGTTCTCGGGGCGAACCAATCTTTGTGGTGAGCTAGGATGGTTACCGTTTCAAGCTTAGCCTCACACATGCATTCTCTACAATGAGCTGCTAGATGTCCAGGTGCAGCCAGGTTTCTTAAGTTTGCGGCATGTTCTCGCGTGCGGTCATTTATACAACGTCCCGTTTGCCCGATGTAGCTACGTCCACATGACAATGGTATGTTGTAAACTACTCCTTTGTCGCATGGAACGTATTCTGTCTTGTGTTTGGTGGTACACCTGCCTGTATTGTTAACCTGGGCTAGGTTGACCTTCCTGCACATTGCGTGTGCCTTGTTGGGTGCCGAGCACTGATCTCTATGTCTATTTGCTGGATCGCGTTTGACCAGCTCCTCCTATGGACCGGAATGCGGTCACTGGCGGCCATCTTTAGGTAGAGTTATATCATCTCTAGCCATCATAGTAATATGGCGGACAGCGCAATGGCGGCAGTCTGCCATAAAATAGCCGTAGATCTAGTACACGGTACCGTGGGTGACATTTCGTGCTTGATTGAAGTTGTTCGACGAAGCAGATTCTTGAAACCCGGCGTGAATGGTAGCCTCATCTTTGAGGACCCGGCAAAAGTTCTACGAAAGCGCAGCACCGGGGGAAAGCAGCGCAGCTCGCATCAAAAGCAGACTCCGTACCGTCGTCTGCTTTCGATGCTTCTTTCGATGCGACTTTCGATACGTGCTGTGCTGCTTTTCTCCCGGTGCTGCGATTTCGTGAAACTTTTACCAGGTCCTCAAAAACCGGACTACTGTTCACGCCGGGTTTCAAAAACATGTTTCGTCAAATAATTTTAATCAAGCACGCAATATCACCCACGCTATTTTGACCGCAGCCTGCCAACCCACCTGCCAAAACGCTATCTGCCATGGATGGATGATAGCGGCTGCAGCAGCTTACATTGGCTAGAGGTGATATAACTCTACCTAAAGATGGCCGCCAGTGACCGCATTCGCGGAGCGGGCAAACGCGATCCAGCAATTGTCATAGAGATCAGTGGTGCCGAGCATATGATATTTATGCCGTGTCTGCTTGCGATCTTTTTTAACCTGTGAGTTACCCCATGTATGTATGGGACCACCGCAAAAGGTGAACGGGAGATCTGCTTCGGTGGATCAAGGTCAGTGCGTTGACAAGTTCTTTTTATGTTGCGGCAAATCTTTTTCACAAATGGAGGCCAGGAAGGGTTTCGGATATCCGGCCTCTTGAAGCCTGGATATTTGGGTTTCAAAACTTTTTACCATCTGATGGGGGCAGGTCTTCCTGAGGCTGGCTGAAAGAGCTGCAGTAGCGACCCCTTGTTTTACAATTTTGGAATGTTCGGATTCAAAGGGAAGGAACCCTTTCCCCGATCGCACTTCATATCTCCAACACAAATGTTCTGTTTGGAAGTTTAAGGCCAAATCAAGAAACCGTATGGAATTATCAACAGGGGGCTCGTAGGTGAATGTGAGCCCCATGCAGCTTGTCTGGAAATGCCTGAGGGTGGTGTGGAGGCATCCGTCTAGTGATGCATCAACTCCAGTTGTGCATAAAATAAGGAAATCGTCAACATACCTGAAAATAGCGGCAACTCGTGGGTCTTTTAAAACTTGCTGTATGGCTACCCCACATGCGGCGAGAAAGATGTCGCACAGGTATGGGGCCACTTTTGAACCAATGCACACACCACTCTTCTGGACATACGGCCGATTTTGATGGGTTACTACCGTTGCGGACAAATAATATCTTAAAACCTCCAAGAAGGTGTCTAGGCTAACACCTGCTGCATTTTGGAACTGCGCGAGCCCTTGGTTTTCGATGGAACTTCGGAGGACCTGTAGAAGCCCATACATACATGGGGTAACTCACAGGTTAAAAAAGATCGCAAGCAGACACGGCATAAATATCATATGCTCGGCACCCAACAAGGCACACGCAATGTGTAGGAAGGTCAACCTAGCCCAGGTTAACAATACAGGCAGGTGTACCACCAAACACAAGACAGAATACGTTCCATGCGACAAAGGAGTAGTTTACAACATACCATTGTCATGTGGACGTAGCTACATCGGGCAAACGGGACGTTGTATAAATGACCGCACGCGAGAACATGCCGCAAACTTAAGAAACCTGGCTGCACCTGGACATCTAGCAGCTCATTGTAGAGAATGCATGTGTGAGGCTAAGCTTGAAACGGTAACCATCCTAGCTCACCACAAAGATTGGTTCGCCCGAGAACTACTTGAGGCCTTAGCCATAGATCAACAAAAAGACAACTGCGTTAGTTCACCATCCATTGCCCTACAAACAAGTGAAAAGAAGTTCCTGCGAGACGAAAATGCCCATGAAGATAGAGGAAGATCAAGAAAAAGGAAAAAGAATACGTAAAAAGGACAGCCACCAGACCAGTAGAAGAAGAAGCCGAGGGTTAATAAATAGTTGGTAGTCCAGCGATCGGATGCTTTTTCCTCCTTTCTCTCCTCCCCCCCCCCCCCCCTTTTCTGTAAGTTCAGCTGGTTTTCACAATCTAAGTATGTACAACCAACTAGCTCAGCTCCTTCCCATTGTAAAAAGGTACTTTTGTACCTTTTTGCACTGTTTTATCTCATTATGTTTGAGCAGAGTAAGGTTTTCTGATTCATTGATATGGCTGAGCTTCAAGTGTCATTAGAACAAAAAACAATAGCACACTGTGGTTAGTGAGCGTGTTGTGAATGCCTGAGCATCCCTAAACATCAGGTGAGCACTTTCGTTTTTTAGTTTTGCAACCTTTCAAAAAGACGGGCAGCAAAACATATCTTTTTCTGTTAGCTTTGTTGGTTTTGAAGTGTAGTATTAGCTTTTATAGGTTCAAATTGAAGGTGTGTCTGAGCCACACAGATTGTTAGGAGGTAGACTGAGGTACACTGTGATCATGAATACAGCATCAGTGCTTCTTCGCTTTTTGCAAGGACTTTTGCCGGGGCATCTTTTTTGCTTTGCCCAGTACCCCAACTAAGAACTTCCTGCTACACCAATAGTTTTTGTTGTAGTCTTTATATTGTAAGACAAAAACAGGAAAGACCGTCGATCACTTGTCGGTGCCCAAGTCGCGCTCTGGGGACATATATCTGAAGTGAAACTGCATCATTCCTGGCTAAAAGCTGGACACACTAGCAATGTTTGTATTCGGGCAAGTCGGAACATGTTGCAATGCAAATATAAATGGTGCAAAAAAGACACAGGTACAGTTTCAAGGAATGACGAAAGAAAGTGCTGTGTTTGCACCCTTTCCTGTGTCTTTTTTCACCTTTTTATTTTGATGGATACTCTGTAACATCTGGAGTGGAAGGGCTTTTCTGAGCGTCAACATACCATACGCTTCATGATCAACAACTCCCAGACTTTGAAGCATTCAGAGGTCTGACAGTTTAAATGCACTCTGTGAGTGTGCAATTGGGGATTGGTTTCAACGTATTGTGCTACAGGTCACGTGGATTCTTTTTCACGCCAGCTCCATTGTTATGCCTTTTAGCATCGCTAAATATAAGCTAGAGAGGTTGGTGATGCATAGATATCTAGCAACCCTGGTCGAAGCCGTCGCTGGTGGGCAGTGATGCCAACCCTAGGGATTTACCCCTAGATCTAGGGGTTTTCGCTCTCACTTAGGGATTTGAAGACTTTTTGCAAAATCTAGGGATTTCTCCAAGATTTTTTTTTTTTTTATACGTGTGCATTTTTTTTTATTTAATATAAATTGGCGAACAGCAAACCACCCTTTTTACCTTTCGAGCCATCCGGAGCGACGAAGCGGCACAGAGGGAAAGAAGCGTTGTGAGAGAGGTTGGGGGGAAAGGGAGGGCCAATAGTGTATGCGCGGTATGCGCACTGGGCCAACACCACCTGTTGACTGGGCGCTTTTTTCACTGGCTCTCGGGGGGGTTGGGGTTTGGGGGAGAAAAGTTGGGGGTGAGAAGGGGGGGGGGGGGGGGGAGTGGCACAGGCTCGGTCATCTGATCCCCGGATGTAGGTTCAGAAATGAATTTCAAGTGACCGCATTTTTTTTATGTAAATTTTACATTATTTGGAGTTATTGCCGGTTTATCCCGACTCCCTTCTTATCCTTTTAGGAACTCGGTGACGTACGCGCCTCGTTTCCGGCAGGGATGGGCAGTGCGTGGTCTCGCTGAATGCGACGCCAGCAGTTTCCTTTGTATTTATTTTGGTGATCCTTTTGTTGGACGTAAGAAACGTTTCCACTTTTCGAAGCAATCCCGGACGCGAAGACAGTAGGCGGGTCTAGCTTTTTGTGACGGTACTATGTAGCGTCGTGGTGAAGGGTTATATATATATATATATATATATATATATATTTTAGTAGGAGGCAGCTTTACGCGCGCATAGCTTGTGACATTATGATTGTGTTATTTTAAGCTTCCCGCCGAAAGTTAGGGATTTTTTGTCCAATCTGGGGATATTTCCGGCATCAACCTAGGGATAAGTCGACATCAGGGGTTGGCAACGCTGCTGGTGGGTTGAATGTAATGAGCCCTTTTAGATGCCTTTTAGAACTGGGCAAAGCTGCTACTTCGGCAATGTCATTTTAGATTTGCGAGATGAGGAATGCAAGCTACCGAAAGGTGGAAAGGGTCTTGCCATTGCATATTTGTGCAATAACCGACAATAAAAGCTGTGCCACAAGCTTTGTTGTGAGTTTCATTTAGTACAGTGATTTTTGCCTCTTTTAGAGCCGGTCTTCGCCGTCTTGGTTATATAAAAAAAAAAAAAAAAGATTAAATTGGTTTGCTTTTTTTTTATTTACGTTATTCCAATTTATTTTGTTCTGCAGTGCGCTCTCTATGGCCGTGCGGAAGGGTAACTTCACCGCTGAAACGATACGTATGCAGTGAAGCCCAACTCTGCGGAGGTGTGTGCGTGCACCGCACGTACCATTGCCGCAGTTTTCCGGAAAGTTTGTTTCATGTCCGAATTTCATGCAGAGAAGCAGAACGGACTTCTTCTATTTGGTACTTCTAAAGAGTAATTAGTCCGTTCTTTGTATTGTTTCAATGTGTGCACAGTGGAACTAGGGTGGATGGGTGTCGCGCCAGTGAGGTATTCGATAACAAACTGCAAAATGTGTTTTAAACTAGTCACTGGCGACACCTAGTTCTAGCCTGACTCCTCTCGCTAAAAATGTTGACAAGCCTAGTCTTCGTGTTGGGGCCATCATCATCATCATAGATTTGGTCTGCAACCGCAACTTGAACTTCACAGACGGTTTGGAACCGCTTGTTTCGTTCAAAATTCAGGGCAACAAATTAAAAAGGTCGTGGTTAAGATAATATGTCGCAAACATTGCAGGCTTATTTTGTAAGGACGTGCGCTAGCGAAGTATTGAATGAACTCAGTCTTAGACGCCACTCAATGTAATTTGAGAAAGAGGTTGTCCTCGCAGTGGTAGCGACGGCATTCGAATTTTTCTTAGTCTCTGAGCGCAACGTCGTCTGCCACAACGTCGTCTGCCACGCATCGTCGAGGTTCCTGCTCAAGCTCTTCCTGTCAGCTAAATTGTTAATATTATTAAAATGTAAGCTAAATTGTTAATGATTAAAATGTAACGGACATCGAAGGTGAGCGCTGCGACGTTTTGTTTCTTTGACCCGATTTCTTAAGTGTCATTTAGCATCGGGTTAGTATAGCCTTTAAATTCAGTTAAAATGTTTTTACTGTATTTTGTATTCGTGGAAAATCTGTCTTTATTCAAAAATAAGTTTTGTTGTTGTTGTTGTTTCTGCGCGCGAGCTGCTTGAAAGTTTTGCAAGTGCTCAGATTGGTTTCTGGTTGTCGCTGCAGTGAAGTTCCAGTGATAGTCCATTAGTGTCAACTTTCTTGTGCGGTGTGTATACTTTCTTTTCAGGCGGAAATTTTGTGACCAAGGGATGAAATTGCAGCGTTTATCCACAACTATAAGAGCCAGTGACACCGAAGGTGACATATCGGCAGTTTATTTTCCGCCCAGTCATCTAAAACCTCAGCTGCCAACTAGTTGACTGGAGCTGGGACGGAGCCGCCCAACCGCCACGTTTCCGGTGCCGAACTCACCTTTGACAGTGTTTCACAATGTGTCCCTTGCAATAGGTTGTCACGGCACATAATGGCGGGGCACTTGAAGTGCCGTCCTAAAGGCGTCCAAAAGGAGTCGCTGGTTGCAACGAGATGCAGTTGAGAGTGCCACGGATGCTTTCTTTAACGGAACGGGCTGAGAGCACGCACCCTGTGCTCTTTTTCACTTGAAAGGGATGGTGAACCGAAATTAGGATTTCGGGAAACAATGCAGGAGCTGTAGGCAGGACGCTACAATCCCTACAACACTACTCGTAAGGCGATATCTCGAATGGACGGCCATACTTTTGGAAAAAAAAGGTTGAGATTGAACGAGGCTGACGAGGCGCGTGGCGTCAAGATATCTTGTTTCCTCCTCTCTTCGTTTCGCCCCCTCGAGGCGGTGAAGACGCAAGGTCGTTCCCTCCCCTTCCCGGAGAAACAAGACGTAAACATATCTGTCAAATGCGCCTCCTTTTTTTAAAAACTACGGTCATCCGTTCGATATATCGTTGCATGAGTGATGTTTTGATGTTTGTAGCATCCCGTTGCATGCTTTTACCACCGTGCTTTGTGGAGTCCAGATTTCGGTTCAGCATCCCTTTCAGTCTGACCGTATCCGACACTATCATCCAATGGAGCCAGTCAAACAGTGCACCGTCGCGGCGCTCGTCGCCTTCGTGCATTTGCCATCGCCAACTCAACCAATTGCACACGACGAATGTGCCGCAATCCTGTGCTTTTTTTAATGCACAATTGGTTTGGCCAGCGGCAGCATACTTACAGAGACGACGAGCGCCGTGACGACGCACTTTTGGCGCTGCTTGAATGGCTCCGTCGACTGAAACAAAGTATGGCTTTATTTCTTCCAAGCGTCTCGTGCCACCTGCGTAGCTCACAAAAAATATCCACAAATTGCACCTCGTGCCACACTCCTACCATTAGCTTTCGAGGCGCTTGGATACCGACGGTATTTCCTTTGCAGACGTTGCCGACGCCACCTTGCTGCTGCAGCCCAGCATCGAACGCCGAAGGTCGAAGCCCAGGCGTGCCTCGGAATGTGCACGTAAAGCCCAAACATGGACATGTCTCACTTAGACGCCGCATTCCCTTGGACGACGGTGCACGGCCAGTTGTAGGCACTTGATAGACCTTTTCTGAAATTGAGTGCCATCTGGTAGCTCGAAGAGCAGTTTCACTTTCAACAAACTAATGGTGGTCATGAAACTCTATTTTATCGGGCACAGTCACTTTTAAGCATCGATGGCAGACGAGAATTGGTCCTTCGATCACCCAATCATTTTTTTCTATTTGTTTCATTTTCCATGGTATGAATGTAAGAACCGATCAGTACATAGCTGCGACCCATAAGCCCCTCAGTTAAATTTACGCCAACAAAATGCTTAAGAGCCAAACATGCACCAAGAGACTAATTGAACTACACTCGAAATAAACACTTATGCAGCCATCGTACGCAATTCGTGCGTCGTATTGTATGTACGTCTTGGAACGTGCGGGCCTCGTGTATCCTCCGCATGGTAGTATCTTCAACATTTTTCTTTGTCGGCCTCGAAAAGGCCGCCATTATTTGGGCACCGAAGTGATAGGGATCCAAATTGCCATTCAGAATTTCGAAAAGGGTCTATAATGCCAGTTTTTGCTGATTCGGTTGCCACAAGTCGTGATAGTTGGCGAGGTTTTCGTAGACTATGGTCCCTTGGTGAATGACTGCTTTTTGCTTTTCTATATTCACTGTACTGCCGTATTCTGCTTCCAGTGTTAGAGGACGGAACATGTATTATGCATGCTTGTGATTTGAAGATTTTGCAAGTGTTTTATGTGTGTTTCACAAGTTTTGTGTCTCGAAAAACTGCCAACGTCGCTTTGTTGTTTGCGACTGTAGTGCAACTTTGTGCAGCCATTGCCTGTTTTGTGTCTCTGTTTCAACTGTCTGCATTTCGTGAAAGTGCAAAGTTGTCGAAACTGCACTCTAGCACTACTGTGTGTTTAACTCTAACGTGTCACAACATTGTACACATGTATATTTGTCATTGTTCGTGCAAATATCTTTAAATGAGCACTAGTATGTGGTCGAATACTGAGCATGAGTATCCGGTGGTAAAAGCATGGCATATGTCATGCGCAGGCGTAACAGTGCTGTTGGCCGATATGCACCCAGTTATCGTCAGTGCTTACAGACGTAAACATGATAGTATGATGTTTCAGAGTAGGCGGGCAAACTGCTTGATAAAGTGTCAATGGTTGAAAGTTAGCGCCCGTCCGTGTTGTTTGCATTTTTTTTGCTCCCATTATTTTTCTGCTTTTTGACAGCATTGAAGCTGTGAAGCAGCGAACTCAAGTCGGAGTTTCAACCCTTTAGCAAGTTGCAGCTAAAAAAAGTACTGTGACAAAAAGCATTAGCAAACGGCAACACTCGCGTTTGCTCATGCATTTTGCCGTAACTTCTATGGCCAGCCACCAGGATCGCGACGTCCGATAGCGGAACACTTCAGCTTTTGTGACATTGTTTGTTGCCACTTTGGGAACACACTCGATGCATGGGCAGAGTAGGAAGCTAAACACACCAGTTGGAGGCTCTTTCCAGGCGCTATACTGCATGTACACCGACGCTACGATCCCACTTTGGACGGTCCGCAAAAATCGGTTTCTCAGTGCATCGCTCTTGGATTTACTACAGAGGTGCCCGAAGGTGGTGCACCCATTCATTGAGAGTATGAATACATGAATCTCCAGGGTCAAAAGAAATAAAATAAAAGGTGGTTTTCTCTATGGAAAAAATTATCTCTGAGCCTTTTTTCTCAAAATCGTAGAAAAAAAATGAAAGCCGTTTACAACTCCCTGTAACGCCGAATTAGAGCGCAGCTCTTGAGGAGGAGGAGGGAAGGGTACTGGGGGGTGGGTCAAGTGACCTCGGGGGGGCGGGGGGGTCACGTGACCTTGTGGGTCACGTGACCTTGTGGGAGTCACGTGACCTTGGGGCGTCACGTGACGTCGGGGGTCACGTGACCTGGGGCCACGTGACGATACCGATGACGTCATCAGTAGCGTCACTGATGACGCCATCAGTGATAATGATGACGATGCGGATGCCGGTGACGTCATCAGTGACGTCACTAATGACGTCATCAGTGATGACGATGACGATGCGGATGCCGGTGACGTCATCAGTGACGTCACTGACGACGTCATCAGTGCCTATGACGTCAACGGGGGGTCACGTGACCTCGGGGGGTATCCCCAGGTCACGTGACCCCAGGGGGGGTCACGACCTGGGTAACCATCGTGACCCTCGTGAGGGTAACCCTAGTAACCCTTGTGAGGGCAACTCTCGTGACCCTCGTGAGGGTAACTCTCGTGACCCTCGTAAGGGTAACTCTCATAACCCTCGTGACCCTCGTGAGGGTAACTAACCCTCGTAACCCTCGTGAGGGTTACGAGGGTGAGTAACCCTCGTGAGGGTAACTCTCATAACGCTAGTGACCCTCGTGAGGGTAACCCTCGTGAAGGTTACCCTCACGAGGGTTACTAACCCTCGTAACCCTCAAAAGGGTTACCTTCACGAGGGTTACCCTCACGAGGGTTACTAACCCTCGTGAGGGTTACAAGGGTAAGTAACCCTCGTGAGGGTAACTCTTGTGAAGGTAACCCTTTTGAGGGTAACTAACCCTCGTAACCCTCGTGAGGGTTACGAGGGTAAGTAACCCTCGTGGCCCTCGTGATCCTCGTGAGGGTAACCCTCATGAGATTAACCCTCGTAACCCTCACGAGGGTTACGAGGGTTGCGGTTACGCCGACGCCGACGCCGACGGCGACGCCGCTCAAGCCGGGAACGGGCCCCTAAGAGCTGCGCTCTAAAACATTCCGGGCTATACTGGCGTTTATTACGACTGACAAATCGGTGAAATGGAGAAGAAAATACATCTGGCCTACCTATTCTTCGCTTCATTGGGCTCGAAAGAGCGCCACAGTGACGCAAGTGTACGTGATTTTTCGTGATTTACTCGGGTGAGCCAATCTTCCCACAATTTTAGCAAAAACTTCCACCATCTAAGGCACCTCTGTAGTAAATCCTAGCGAGATACGTTAAGAACCTGATTTATACAAATTGTCCAAAGTGGGATCGAAGCGTTAGTGTACATGCCGTGGTTCCTAGGAAGCCAGCTTGAGAACCGACAGTCTAAGCAACAAACCTAAGCCGCACAGCGTGCCGAGCATCCAAGACCTCCTGTTTTCTGACCCAGGGTCGGCGGAGAGGTCACCAGCCACCGGGCGGCTGCCCCTGCCACCGCCAGACCGCGCCCGCCACAGCTGCACCTTCTGCGCGTACACGACGGCCTACCGCACCAACCTGCTGACCCACGAGCGCACGCACACTGGGGAGCGACCTTATCAGTGCCCCCTCTGCCCCAAGGCCTTCGCACAGAACACCACACTCGTGCGGCATGTGCAGACGCACACGCGCCACGATGCCAAGGGGGTTCCCGGGAACGACCTCCCGAGCCGCGCCCAGACCTACTACCCGCACTGAACGGAGCCACGGAACGAGCGACGCTTTGAGGCCAGTTTACACGTTTGCGTTTGAGTGCAACCACGGTGTAAGATGTGTGTAGGTGTGAACACTGCACATCCTCCTCTTGCCTTGGTTGCAACCGGTACTATCAGAAGGCGCCTCTTAGATAATCAGTTAGATGGTTGCCTGTCGTGGGCCCGGTTTCCCAAACTTCTCTACGAGAAACGCGCTCGTTTTTAAAGTTGTTTTCCGGGTGTACCGCATGATATAGAGCTCGGCACTTGCACCACGCGTGTCGCTTAGACACAGCTTCGTCATTGACGCTTGCCTCAACGGCAGCAAGAACAGTTTTACGAACGCAACGAAGCGGAGAGACTTCTGGCACGGCGGTCAAGCTTGCGTCCGTCGAAGTCAGAGCAAACGCGCCGTGCAAAACGCACACGCGCAAAAATGTTGTAACAATGAGGCTTTTTTTTTTTTGCTTTTTTTTTTGCTTTTTTTTCTTTAGTTGCAACATCAAACCGGCAGATACGCCACCAGAATAGGTTGCTGGGGCATGCAGGACTTTATCTGGTCGATCGCATTGCAGCGTTCACTGTACTGCGTGCCCACACCTATATATATATCTTGCAGCGTGGGTGTGACCGAATGCGTCGTGACCGCTTGTAACCGCTCACAAGAGGATACACTCTGCGAACACAGTGGTACACCGACGCCGTCTATCAGCTACTCTTGGAACACTTCCGATCCGCGTATAACTCTACTCGACGTCCGCCATTTTATGCTACGTCGTCGGGGCTAGCGTGGCTTTCACGGTGCTCCAACGTTTTGAAACCTACTTGCACGATCGAATGCGAAAGGAACTCGCGTGCACGTGCTCCAAAAGCAGTGCGGGGCCTCCGTAACGTGGAAGCTACGTTGACATCAACGATGCAGCACAATAGTCGACGCCGGGTACGGACCGGAGGTTCTGCGATATTGGCGACATCAGATCTACACACTGTCTAGGGGAAACGGTTGTTTATAACATCGTCGGAGTCATCTCAACCCCACAGCGAAAAACCGGTGCATATTTGTAAATTACGCAGCTAAGAAGCAATTATTTGATAGATGGCACCAGAGCAATTATTCAGTTGTATTCATTGATATAGTCGGTCACAGTCGGATGTAAACGCGTGAACCAGCCTTGAGAGTAGCGACGCTTCGGCAATCTCGAAATCGTTGTTACCAGTTATTCGCAGTTGTAATCTGAAATCGCAAGAAATGCTTTTCTGTCTTTCGGAAATGTTGGGGCAGTCTATGACCGAGGAGAACGATATTGCCCGAGCTCCCAGAAACTTTTATCTGAAGCTCGGGAGGTCACAGTTTTTAATCGTAACTAGCGCCAGTAGACCCTTTTCATAACGCCGTTGAGCAACATTGACGGTCACCATTTCTTCGGCAGGAAGCGTGCGATTCGATTCGAGTCCTCGCCAATCGCTGACGCAACACTCATTCTCGATCTAAGCCGAGCCGCGTTCATGCTGAATGTTGACATGGTCATAGTGTCCAGTACGGCGGGCAAGTGTTCTAAAATGCGTCTTTCACGCATTGGAACGCGAAAAGGTGCATTCGAATCAAAGGGCAAAACAGAGGACACCCCCATAGATAACGCACAATAACGAACCAGCGAATTTCGTGCCATTATTGGTTGAAGCCGGGGGGGAAACAAACGCACGTGGATGCATTAGGGGGTAAACAAATGCACAAGGTGCGCAAGAAGCAGACGAACTTGCAGGCCATATAGAAGCTCAAAGTACAAGGTGTTCCCAACAAAAGAGAACTATGTTTTTCGGCCCGGGTAAGTGAACTACGCATTGCAAAAAGCTCAAACTCCGTGAGAATGTGACGATAGCGGTTGGGATAGAACATGAAAGTTTGAGAACATGAGGTTAGCTAGATGATGAGATAATTGGGAATAACGAAATTTCTCTTTGTGACCCGATGCACTCCTAAGCCTAATATTGTCAACAAAAAAAAAACAAAAAAACTCGGGACGCTTAATCTTTGCGTTTAAGGGTGGAACACGATGGCATTGTCAAGCCCTGTACGCAAAGCCTTCTCATATAAACCCGCGCTAGTTCCCAAGCGTGTGTGCGTCATCTAGTGGGTAGTGTCACATGACGTGACGTCACATGCAACTGATGTCATAACCTTATCAGCCCCGCTAAATTTAGCAAAAACTTTTTGCTAAATTTGCGGGAAAATGTTTTGGTAAATTTGGCAGGGAAATTTTCCGCTAAATTTGGCAAGAAAATTTGTCACTAAATTTAGTGGGCCAATAAGGTCATGGACGTCACTGCCACGTGCGACGTCTCACTTGGCTGCGTGCATTGCATTATGGTACTTTTTGGTCCCACCGACGCAGGCGCCGGATTATCTGCAACACGAGCTCCTAAACGCTATGGCATAAAGCAAGAAATGACATTATGGGCACCTGCGCAGCATCCATTTCAGTAAAAAAAAAGACTTGCCAGCACGAAAGGAAACAAGATTTTTTTTCTTGTTAACAAGTGTTTCCCAATTATATAAATCCCACAAGCTTCCACAATGTCGGTTCTTGTTTTGATGATGTTAAGCTTAGGTGAAGGTCGGTATACAAGGTGTGTCAAATAGCAGCCAGGCTCTTTAAATCGACTAAAAATATTGGTTTCTTAACCCATCTCGCTATGATTTTGTGCAGTGTTGCCCACAGGTGGTGCATTTTTTTCTATAAAATTTGCAAAGAGTGAACTTACCTGAGAAAAATAAAAAAGAAAAAGGCTTAACTCCTATGAAAACGCTGCGAAGCCACCGGTTTTGAAACAATAGGACGCCGTTTGGCACAAGAGACGAGATGGCACAAGCGGTCGCGACGCTAACTGCCCTTACCGAACGAGCATACAGCACCGAGAGCCGGCGTCAAATAGCAGACGTCGGCTGCTTTGCAGTTCACGATAAAGCGTATGCTGCGATTGCCTCTTCCCGAGTTCTCGCCGCATACGTAACGTCTGCCGCTTTTGAGTCGAAAAGATTGTCTGCTAATGACGCCGGCTCTCGGCGTCGTATGCTCATTCGTTGGCGGTAGTTGGCGCCGCGACAGCTTGCGCCATCTCATTTCCCGTGCCAAATGCCGCCCTATTGTTTGAAGACCGGTGGCTTCTCTGCGCTTCCATAGGGGTTAAGCCTTTTTCCTCAGGTAAGTCTGCTCTTTGCAAATTTTATAGAAAAAATGCACCACCTGTGGGCAACGCTGAACAAAATCGGTTAAGAAAACCGATTTTTCGGTCTATTTAAATAGCCTGGCCACTGTTTGAGACACCCTGTAGAACAATTTTGTTTTTCTTCATTATCTTTTGATCCAGGTAATGTCATGTTCTCAAACTTTCGTGCTCTATCCCAACCGCTAGCGTCGCATTCTCGTGAAGTTTGAGCATTTGTGTGATGCATAATTCATTTACCCGGGCCTAAAAACACAGTTCTTTTTTCTTGGGAACCCTCAGTATATGTGTCCAAACAATGGCAGACCGATAATTGGTGCAGCAGCTACTAGATGGCCATCACTTCTGAGGATTGCACCAGCTGACAAGATGGTGGCACCCGCAAGACAATCGGAGCGTGGAGTGTCGCTACTCTGAAGCATAGCCTGTTTGGTGGCTCTACCGTTGAAGACTCTCATCGTCCATTTCCAAGATCACCTAGACATACAATGCACATTAAAGAAGGGAACAACTTCAGAGTTCCTTTTGCTTCTCTTCTTGTCAGCATGGCATTTGAAAGGCGGATATTTAAATGCTGCCACTGCAGTGCTTCGTGTTTAGTTCTGTTTTCTCATCCATTGCACCCCATGTTTCTTTTCTCTCTATTAGGCGTGTGCAAATAGTGAATTTTGAGTTTGAGGTGAAAAGTGGTTTGGGCCACATACATCCGAATCAACTATCGAATACTGTCTCCAAGCCTTTTAATACTGCACCATGCTTAAACGAAAACCCAGCTGAACTCGTGAAGGTTGTTTCTAAGCTTCCACTTGTCCATTTCTAAGCAAAGTTAATTATAATCAACTAGATTTATGAATTGTGGCTTCAAAAAGTCCAATGCCTACATTGGGACGGCAAGAAAACAACGCATTTGACATACAATGAAACCTATAGATGCCCAGCTATGCCTAATCGAGGGGTTTTATAAATCTTTTTGCTATATGCAAATATTTTTTCATCAATCTAAAAAAAAAAAATTTATGATGAATGCAGGTTGTCAGGGCATCTCTACTTCATATTTTCTGCTCTGCATAATAGCCACACTTTAATTTTGAATATTTTACTGCAACATAGATGTCAGCATCAGGTGAGCGCATATGCCATCCCACTTTGAAAGTGCTTTTCTCCTAAGCACGTGACTGCAGTATTTGTACTTTTCTAAGTGTCGATTGTGGCAGATCAGCCCCGTTGAGTGTGCTTCTTACCGAGCATCTGTGCGCTGCAGAGAAGCAACGCCCGCGAACACTCGCTTGGTGTTGCTTCTCCGCAGTGCACCGGTGGTGGGCAAGAAGTGCGCTCATTGGGACTAACCCACCGTGGTTAAAGTTCAGAAATATATAAATATTGCAGTTAGTCTCCAAGCGTTAATTGAGTGGTGCCTCACCAAAAAACTACTAATCGAAAATTAGAATATTCGCACAATCCTACTTTCTAATTCATTGAATCATTCTTTCCTCCGTCGCATGCATGTTCCTGGAATTCCCATAGACAAAAATCTCAAGTGGCCCAGTTAGTGTAACCACTTGCGTTGTAGTTTGTAGGGAAAGAAGGAAAACAAAACTATGCAGTTTCCCACCTGTGCTTCCTCTCTGAGCTTGTGCACTGAAGTCTCGTGGATTAGACAACCTTGTTCACAACTGAACAAGCTTTTAGGCGGTGTTTGCTCGTACACCTGTCTGTATACCAAGGTTCCTACACTTGTGGTATGCAATGCCAGAGAACAACGATCAGATTAGTGTAGGCCTCGACGAATATTGTGCAGATAGTATGACTAGGCTGAATTAAATAATTAAAGAACAGCGATCTACAGTGGAGATCTCGACTACATTATACTTGAGCCTAGGAGAAATCTGTACTAACGACATGCAACTGGATGTCGTCTGATGCATCGTTTGAGGGACTAAATGGAGTGTGGTGCCTCAGTCCACTTGCACCATTTTTCATATTCTCATTCCCAGGCAGCAAAATTGCAGAAGCACACCGATTTTACCGGCATAATCTGTCGGAAACCTTTTCCCGTGATGTTCAATAGAAAAATTGTTTTTTTAGTTACAAATGTGACATGAAAGATGGATCCCTTTAGAAGCTCCACTTTTGAGCTGGTACTATTCCGCACAAACACCCTCCTTTCTAGGTTACAGAGGTTTACGATAGATACGGAACACCACTGCACACAATCACCACTAAACAGAGTTCTGATTCGGGCGTCTTTGCTTTTATTCTGGACATTTTGGATTCCTTAAAAAGGGCCTGTATTGTTCCGTGGACACATGCTTCATGGACAACTTTTCGTTAATACAAGTTCCGTCGAGTCTGACATATCGGGCAAACTTGTTTCGTGAACCGCACGCTTCTGCGGAGGTTTCGTCAACAAAACAACTTCTTCAATTACTGGCTTCGTTCCGCTTGCCGGCAGAGAACGAGCCAGCTTCGACACCTTAAAAATAAATGCAATCCCTAAGGGTGGCAGGTTCGACGAAGCTAGGCTTCCCAAAAGACCGTGCCACGTGCTTTAAGGCTCGTCCACACATATGCAACCGAGTAAGACCAAGAGAGTCCAGACCGGTTTTTAAGCCTCTTGCGACATCTTAGGACCAGCTCCACTGCAGCGCGTCCGGTCCCAAGACGTCACAAAAGGCTTAAAAACCGGTCTGGTCTCTCGGTGGCAAGAGTGTGAACGGGCCTTTACCCCTCACCTTGCTCTGCCGGGAAAATGAATTAGAGCGTTTTAGTAGAAGTACGCCGCAAATCGTGAGCCTGGCGGGCACATGCGCGTGCTCAAGCTGCGCTTCAGAATGACGACACAAGCTCCCGCTCACAATGCAAAGCTCTAGCGTTTGGTCTACTAAAAGTCTCTAACATCTCAGGCTTGAGCTCACGAGGGTTCGGCAAGCTATAGTCGCAGACGGGGTGAGAAGGGCAGGCCGTGTCTTCCGAATGCTCGGTCTCCAGCACGTGCTACAGGACTTCCGCTATATACTTGAGCTGCATGCACGCGCTCCAGGTGCGCGAGGTGCCATAGTCTTGTAGTGAAACTTGGAAGCCTGCGCAGGAGGCGGGACAACCGAAACTCATCCCTGCCATCCTCACCCTGCCAGGGATTGTAGGCTACCATGGAGGTGCTGGTGGTCGAGACGTGCACAGAAAGAAGTCGTCAATGAAATGTGTGCAGGCATCTTCGCGATAAACCGTCGCGTGTTGACGGAAACCACCCGTCGACGAAGCGTAGTTCAACGAACTGATTGCCACCGGTTCAAGTTCACGTCTCGTGTGCCGAGCCGACCTCGCGCCCGCACCAACGTCGCACTCAGCAAGATGCCTGGCTGCCGCTGAACTGGCGCTTGGCCCTGCGCGTCTGCACATGTCCCGAGAGCTGTCCCACGGCACGCTGTCCCGCGACGCGCTGGGCCGCGACACGCTGTCCCATGGCACGCAGTCTCTCGCCAAAGCAGCCGCGTGCCATGTGGCGCTTGAGGCTTGACTTCTCGGTGAAGGTGCCGTGGCAGCGGATGCACCCGAAACGGCGCTCGCCGGTGTGTGCCCGCACGTGGCGCATGAGGTTCCACTTCTTGCTGAAGGTCATGGGGCACACGTGACACGCAAACGGCCGTGCACCGACGTGCGACGGTCGGCGTCTTTCGAGACTCGCCTCATCCGGATACAGGATCGGGCAGGAGGGACCCGGGAGGAAGGGTTCACCTGAACCGTCGCGGTCCAGCTCTGGGGCGGCGGGGGCAAAAAGTGCAGAGTCGCTGCAGGGGTCCCACTTGAAACTGTCGTGGGTGACGTCAAGGAGACCTGGGGAGAGTCGAGAGGGTGTTTATGGCCACCGCTTCTGATCAGATTATCGTCTGCAAACAATTACGGCTCGCCAACCTTCCTCATATAGCGATGACAAACGGGAATCGCCTTTACTGCGTAGTAATGAGCAGTCGATAGATTATAACTGTGATCTGTTGCAGTATAAAGGCCCATTCACGCACTTGCGTTTGCTTACGACCAAGTTCTTGTGATCTTTTTCGAAGTGAGCACATGCTGGTGCCACCTATGAGGTGACCCTGGAACCGTATTTCATTAAAGCGAAGGTCTTATAATATTTGGGAGATCAAATGTATATACATCTTTGAGAAAGGGTCGTTTATATCATTGTCAAAAGCTTTTCGAGCCAAGAAAGAAAGAATGATGCTAGAAAAAAGATAGTAAATATATAAAACGCCTTTCACAGCTACCCGATAGATGGCGCCACTTGTTGCGAGAGATGCACAGGGTCGCAAGCATTTGCAAGTTTGTGAACCAGCCTTTACGTTGACAATGAATCGCAACTTGCCGACTCGACTCAAATAGCACCAAACCTGCCAGCGTAGTGCCAACTGGAATCTTCTTTACTGCGCGGTAACAAGCAGTTGATACGCTGGAACTATGCTCTCTTGCAATGCAAGAAGGTGAAAAGAAGTCCCTTTCACAAAGTTCTCTGCTCTCCCACGATTTGTGCTTCCCTCCTCTACATCATTCGCTTTGCTAAAGTGGAAAGGGTGAATGCTTGGTAGGAGGTGCTTGTCTTACTATCCTTAGCCTGAAGCAGACTGGATAAGCACCATCGTGGGAGAACTGTTCCTAATAGGCTCTCCATGGTGAAATGACGGAACTCTCGTAAAGTGCCACGGCACTTGGGACCAACTTCTGAGACTGACTGTGTTGCTACGTAACCTCTATATCACGTCGGTTCACATCGTTCACATAACATGCGCTGGCTTTTAATTAAATATGGTAAGTGCACAGGCAATCAAAAGCGGAAATTTTGCTGTGCTCGCAAAGGAAAGAAAAGAAAAAGTGAGGCAACGTCTTGTTGCACAAAAGTTTCAACGTTGATCGGCAATGCAAGCTTTTGCCGATTGGTATGTCCGTTTATTTTCTACGTTCATTCTTATCAGCAGCCTCCAGGTACAACAGCACATGTGCGATCCAATAAAGGAGAGTATTATGCACGTGAGAAAAATGAGCAAGATTATACATATTCAACTATGATTGTGTAGGCAATGCATGTGTGAATAAATATATAGAAATTCTATACGATAACACCATTATGTTAAGCATATAGTACACACTGTTCTTTTCACGGTCAAACAAAAAATAGTTGCAATAGATAATATCTGGTATGCACTGGCTGAATTATGGTGGCCAACAATTTTCCATTCAAAGTTTTCGATCATTTGAATAGCACACTTTCAAACTAGAGTTAAGGTAACAAACACAAACAAGCTTTACAAAACAGTAAACCGCCCAAAGAATAACCAAACAAAGAATTATTTTCGATTTGAAAGAAACAAAGAAACAACCTAGTTACAACAAACAGGAAACTAACCCCGAGAGACTGGTCACTAAAGTCTGGTTATAATCCCAAGCCCCGGATGATAGACAGATGATGTGAGTGACTGTTCCTGGCCAACACCTGCCAAAAATTGTATACAAAACCCCAAATT